ATTGCCCCCAGTGTGCTGTCCCCCTCGTGTCCCCGGGGCAGGGACCCGGTGCTGGCAGGGCTGCCGGGAGGGCCAGGGCACTGCCGGGGGTGCCAAGTCTCTCTGTCTCTGCAGGCTCTGGACAGGTTTCTCCAGATGGAGAAACAGAGTTTGGCCCCGGTTCCTCCTGCGCCTTCACCCCTCCATCTGAGCCAGGCGCGCCAGGAGATGGCTTTTCGGTGAGTCTGTCGGAAGAGGGTTTGGGACAGCCCGGCAATCCCCGCTGGGTGACCCGTGGGGCCTCCCTCCAGCCCTTCGGCGGGGCTCCCCGGGGGGCTGAGCGCGGGGTAAGGGGCTGCTTGTGTCCGCGGCAGGATGCAGGAGCTCCTGGAGCAGATGAGGTCGGTGTCTTGTGATCTCCAGCTCAACAACAGCATCATCGAGCGGTGAGTAAGAGCACCCAGAGACGCTGCTCCGAGCAGCCATGCCTGCCCCTAGCCCCAGGACAGGGCCGTGCTGCCCTGGGAAGGGGCAGTGGGGCTGGTGGGCTCCCTGGGAGCCCGTGAATGAGCTCCGGCATGGAGCACAACCACTGCTACTCATGGGCTGGTTCACGGCACCAAGTTTACATCATCATCTGGCGGCAGAAGACAGTTTATCTTTCTTGGAAGTTGAAGCATGATCTTCTGCAAATGCTATGTCACGTCTACACCCTCTTTCCAGCCTTTTTCCTGCGCTGCTCAGCGCTGGCAGCTGCTGACTGCCACGGAGAAGTGGATGCTTTCTGTTTCTGGATGTGACTCTGCGAGAAAGCCAGCATCCTGCTGCTGACAGGCCCCCCTGGGTGTCTTCCTCTGCAGCCTTTTTTTGAGGATCTTAATGCAAATCGACCATGTGAATATGCACATCGAAATGTCAAAGAGTTTCAGATCAGATTTTAAAAGAAAAAAAGGAGTTGGTGATTCACCCCAAGCCTGTTTTTATAGGACCAGCTGTGTTGTTGCAGCACGTCCACTGTGAATAAGGGGGTAAGGAAAGGTCTGGGATGTTTTCAGTATGAAGAACTTATCCCAAGAGACGCTGGAAGAAGCCCAGAGCGTGGTGCCCAGCCCAGACTGTAGCTTGGGACTGTGTGAGCCCAGGTGACCCCTCGTTAGCCTAAAGCCTTTGGTTTCCTTCCTGCAGGTTAAGTGGGGCTGCCCCCACGCCCGGTGTCTGAGCGACGAGGTGGATTTGCAGCCACTGAAGCAAACGGCTTTCCACAGCAGGGAACGCTCACAGCACTTTGGGTCCGGAGCAACGCAGGCGTCTGACGTTCGTGTCCGGGGAGCTCTCTGAGTCCTACCTCTCCGCTCCAGCACTTTTGCACAGTTCACCAGCATTAGCTTTGATGGCTTGCAAGCCTTGAGCCTTCGAAAATTTGATCAGAAAACTGGGGATTTTTCTTTTTTTCTTTTAAAAAGTGCTTGAAGGACTTTTTTTTTTTTTCCTAGCTTCTCTGTATCACCATGTCAGATGATGAAGAGGAAGAGGCTAGACAGATAAATTATCTTTTGCTGTCTTACTCGTTTGGGGATTACTCCCACTCGTAACGTGCTTCTGCTCCCTGGGGCTTCGTGGAGCGGGGCAGGAGCCCAAGGCAGGAGGGATGCTGCGCCCGATGGAGGAGAGACCGGCTCCAGCCCCGGATGGGTGCAGGGCTCTGCCCGGGAGGTGACAGCCCGGGGAAGGCCGGAGCCGCAGACCCCTGCCCCCGGGC